CGCTTGGCCTGTATTCCTGCTGCTACTTTCTGTAGCTCTTTGGATCTCCTTTGCCAGACCACGAGGGACGTTTTTTTCAAGCTAAACTGAAGACTGCATCAGCCTACTCCTGGCTACAGGTGTGCATGTGGTTGTGAGCACTGGCTCTGAAATGGGTTCAGAAAAATAACATGAAATAAAATCCCATTTCCACCTGTAACCTTCTGTCTATGGAAGTGTTTTAGAGCTGAAAAAAACCCTGGCATTTCAGGCAAATAACAGTGAATTATAACTGATTTATAATCTCCTCTTCCAATATTTATAGCATTTCATAGTCCTCCTTTTGTCTCCTTAGAGATCAAAGAAAACGACCATTAAAACTGTAAATTATTAGGCTGTCCATCACAGACCTTAGGCAGGGGTCATTTACAGATCAAACTTGTACAAACAGAAGCTGTGGGAAAAGAAGACCGAAAAAGAGGAATAAGTAGAAGTATGACATGGATATGTGAAAACTGGAAGTAGGAAAGGGGGAAATGCTTTACTTCGTGATATCCAAATGAATACTTTATGAATGGTTCCTCCGATTAAAAGCTGTGATGTCTAAGGACAGTGGAAAAACTTCTGGCAGACATTTCCTTCCACCTGCCCCCAAAAAAGGGCTTAATTCTTTATACTTCTCCAAATATAATTTACTTAGCAGACATCCAAGTTCTGCTTGAAGTTATTAGGAATTTATATCAAGGGACTTGGTCTTGTTGGACCAGTTGACAAACGCTAGCCAATGCTAAAAAGGTTCAGATACATGACAAAATACTTTCAGTATGTGACTGAACTTTTACTATACTATATATACACATGTACAGTGTAAGTACACATATATGTAACTCATACCAATACACTCCACTTATGTTTATATTCTGCAGTCTGAAAGAATGCAGATAGAGTACTAAACGCATGTTTTACTTCTGATACCTTCATCAGTCCTTCCACTCGTGGAGACAACGGATGCTTTGCTATTAGGACAGACTTTAGAGCACTACATTGAAAAATGACCAAAGGTCACAAACACGTGAGCCATAGTTGACCACAAGAACTACATGAGCTATTTTTAAAATCACGCCTAATTGGCCCCAACTTACAGGTTCTCAGTTTTCCACTAAACTTGCAGCAAGAGCTCACAGCCAATTAACCTGTACATATCACCTTATGAATAAATCTAATTTCTGAATGACTTTAAGTACTTAAGTGAAGCTATTTTCCCCTACAAGCTTTAGAAAGAAAAGGAGTCATTAAAGATTACAAATTTGTAACTATAGACTAAGATCTAATAAAACATAATGATACTGAGTAGGAATTAATATTCAAAACATTCATAATTCTAAGAAAAGGTTAACTGATCTAAAATACATGGATAAGCACTGTGAAATCTGTTCCACGGAAGAGACACAATACTGCATAAACCAACAGGTAAAAAGTTCTGGGGGAAATTGGTGACAAGTAGCCTAACCTGGTGTCCCTCAGAAGTATATTTATGTATGTGCAGACACACTAATTCCAAATTCTATCTTCTTTGTAGTTCCAGACTGCAATTAACTGGCTCCCAAGAAGGCTGGGGTACAAGAACAAGACTTTCTAGACAAAAGCATAGTTCTAAGCTTGTCTTATCCAAATGACCTCAACCAGAATTTTACCATCAACTGAAGAATTCTGTCAAGTTCTTAGGAAATACAAAGTCATAGTAGCAAAGAATGATCTCTCCTTTATCAAATTAGGTATCTGAAGAGGGCAGCCTGACTGACAGAAAGTCTTTAACAGATCAAGATTAATTACAACTCCTAGGAAAGAGAATAATCCTCTGTTCTTGCCCCAGTCTTAAGAACAAACCAGCTTGGAGAAGTCTACACAAAAGCTAGAGTAAAGGTTGAGATGCCTTTTAGAACACACCATGCTTAGTCTTATCTGCTTCTGAGAGTTTATAGTTCCGATCAGGCGACCCTCTGTATCATCTAGACATATCTATCAGTCAAACTGGAATCAGAGCTGCCACATCTGAAACGAAGATAGAGAAGGATAATACTGCCCATTTTCTATAGAAACTGTGGCCAAATCAAACAAACTTCTTTAAAATGTTAAATACAGTTTTTAGTCTAATAGCTAGAAAAATAGAACTTTGGACAATTAAAAACTTCATGAAAATTCAGAGCAAGCACCACACTAAGGCTCTGATCTTACAAATTGACTTGTGTGCAAGGTCGTATTTAAGGATAAATCAATTTAAATTAAGCACTATGGGTAGACCTACTTTCTCAACAGTTATTAATCTCAAACCATCTGCCCTAACCACCCTTATGAATGTGTCCCCCACAGGAAAAGAGGAATGAACTCCAGCACAGCATTTATCATACAATAAGCTAACCAGCTACATAGTTTTGACTTCAGTATTTTAAATCTGCACTGGAAATGGTGGTTCCTAGGAAAAAAAATAGTGCAACATTGGTTGGACAAACAACAACAAAGTCTGTATATATTCTATTAGATACCTGAGGGCTTCAAGAAAAGTATCTTTTATCCCCTGAAGGGAGAACAGAAATGTTTATAAAAACCCAAACAAAAACCTACTGAATAAAATACATCTATACTGTGAAAAATGTATCTATTTTCCCTCCTCTCAAATAGCAACACTGCTCATTGTCTCAGCATTTAAGGGCCCCACTGGCAGGAGTAGCTATGACACTCAAGACAGGACCACAGTTACCCACCGGGCTCTGCTGCAGAGGCTGCTCTTCCTCGTGATCCCACAGGATGTGCTTCAGGGTAACCACGTTAGCCCCTGCCCCAGTGCTATATGGAGTTCCTATGTCCTGGCTTCATCAACCACTCAATAGTTTTCTCTTAGGTGAAACAAAATTTTGGCAATCTATCATTTGGATCAGTGCCCAGAGTCTGTGCCCATGGGTACTGTTGGGCAGTCAGGCAGCTGTCCTGGGGGGCAGCTTGCCTGGCTTTGCTCTACCCCTACTTTATGTACACTGATGGGTTTTATTGACTTGTGCTGCATGAGGGGACCATATGCCGTGACAGACCAGAGGAAAGGGAAACGGATCTTGCAGGACTGAGTTTCTAACTCAGAATGCATTGAACTAAGTGGTGTCACCCTTTCTCTGGGACTGTTTGGCCAGGCTACATGGAGCAGGTTACTCCTCTCTCCCCGACCAGTACTTTCATGTTGCCATTGTTCCCTATGTCAGTCACCAAGGTGGAAACTTCCAGACAATAGTGCACTAGTTGTTGACGGTCCTGGACAGGAAACCATTACCAGAGGGAACCTCCAGCTGGTAGTGCTCTGACTGTGAACATCCCGGATGGGATTCTGTTGCTGAGGGAACCACCAGTTGGTTGTGTTCCTGAGGTGAAGGTCCCCAGGAGTGGTAGAACATACAAAGACCCCACACAAGAAAATGCCGTGGCTCCTCCTCTGAAGAGCCCTATTAAGACTGGCAGCCCCTTTACATAATTTGTGAGCCACATTGACTGAATATAAACTATATATGCAGGGGTGTACATGACCTGGGGGCAAGCAGGCCTGTGAGGACCCTGTAGGAAGGACATGAGAAGGGAACACTATAGTCATGGTATGTCATCTCAACCCACTGACATTAACATACCAGCTTTAGTTAGGTGGCCAGGCCACCTTACCTAAAAGGAACATGAAAACTGTGTGTGTTCAATAAATAGACTGGAATTTCAAGGTTAGAATGCTTAATTTCCTGTTGCTGTTCATTCCAGGACAATGTACATTATCTAGTAATGGGATTTTTCCAAAAATTAATTCATTTTAATTACATTATTAGTAATCAAATTTGGGAGGGGTTGGATACTTTGTGTATCCATATATGAGGACACCACACACAAAAAAAAACATTTTTTCACACAGCTAACACCATTCATAAAGTTATATGAACCCTTTCATGACCAAGCCCACTTGGTGGGCAACTCCAGGGATACAATGACACGTAATAAAAATGTGCTGGTTTTCATTTCTTATCCCATTTTAAAGCCTGGAATATAACTCTCAGCGCTGGGCCTCCTTTCATCTCCTTAATTGCAATCAACAATAAAGAGAGATCTAAAATCCTGCCCATTTCATAGATTCTTTCCAGCATTACCTTCTCTCTAAGACCGCCTCACAAAACAGTGTTCACAGACTATGTGGAGCCAAACACAAGAGTTCTGTGCTTTGCACTGCATACAAATGTCCCAAATTACTAACTGCACATCTGACAAGCAAATTTCTTTTGCCTCCTGGAAAATCTGAAGCAAATATATTTTGAGGAAACCATCGTAAGAGACTCTGAACTAACACTATTGTGTCTTCCATGAAAAAGGCAGATCCCACGCTACCCTATAGGTGACATGGGTCTCAGACAAAGTCCCCAGGATATACTAGAAAAGAGCTTGCTTCATTTGGCAGTATGCCTGCCATGGGAAGCACAGCCAAGTCCCCAACTCATGTACCTTGCAGAGAGTTAAGTTTTCTCTGTGAACACCCCACTGGAGCTTCTCTTTCCATAAAATAGCTTGTAGCATAGGCTGTCTGGAAACAGATCCTTTAGCCCTCTACTACCTTGAACGGGCAAAGAGGGCTCACGATAATCTAACCCCGTAAAAAAAAACTATAACAATTTTTGACTTACTGGCACCCAGCATCCCCTTGGCCTCTAGGCAAAAATTAAGAGAAAAACTGGTTCAGAATAAGACAGCATGTTTGAATATATTCTGGTTATCACAAGCAAGAGCCATGAAGCCCCACTAATGCAAACAAACTCCAAAGATGAAAAGAAATTTCTGAGTCTAATTCAGACAGCTGTCACTGATGTACCCAGGTAAGCATTTTGCAGTACTGACAAAGTGTATCAAAGACGGTTTACAAATCAATAAAGTTTCTAGCACATGAAAAGCTTTCAATATAATGATTTATTTTTACACCAAGAGATTCTTTCTTTCTTGGATGAAGTGCATGCTGTACAGGCAACTGAAGAATATGTTTCCCATATTTCTTTATCAACTTGCTGCCATCATCACAATATACAGCTAGTCCTGTTTTGGAAAATGGGAATTGTTTGTTTGTATTTCAAGTGGATGAAAAAAGCATAAAAAGCTTTGAACATATCTCATAAGCATGTTGGCCCACACTACTTCACCAAAAGAAGTCCTCCAAGTTCAAAACTGACTGCCAAGGCTGCATACATGACATTTGCTATTTCAGTTCCTATGGGAGGGTCCAGAGAAGATCTTTATGGGTAAGGAATAATGCTAGACAATCTCTAGCCAAAGATTTCGGAGAATGTTTTAGGCTTTACTTTTTGGAAGTACTGACAATGGCCCTGATCCAGTAAAGCTCTAAAGAACATAATTTGAACGTTTTGCTAGATCAGAACTGTAGCATGCAATGGAAAAGAACACAAATATCTGACTATTACAAACCCTAAAAGAGGGAACACACAAGCATAGTTAAAGTTTAGTACTACAGTCAGTTTTTCCTATAGTAAATCCCATGCTCCCATGGATCTGCTCCCTTGCCCCTAAGAAAAATTAACAACAAAGTGTCAGGGTACGGACCTAGTCTTAAACGCAATCCCCTTGTGTTACTCAATATCTCTCTCTAAATTTTCCTCTTCATGCTTTTAGGGATATTTTCTGCCCAACCACATTTTAGCTTATGCATCTACACATACAACACCAGATAAAGTCAATCTGCAGATACAGCACAGGTGATGAGTTGCAGAGCAAGAATGCTGAAGCAACAGAGGCACCAGGGTGAGCTCCATGCAGAGCCAATTCAGGTCTGATTGAGTTCATTAGCTCAGGCTGCATCCCAGGCCACTGCAGATTCACAGCCATACAAGTACTTGCATGCAGCCTGGAATATGAATGCATTTCACAGAGCTTGCCCAGCTACCCCTATGCCGTGCTCCCAGGAGAGCTAGGCAGCAAAGTCCAGATGGATTTGAGAGGCTCTGGGATGGAGTTGGTGCTATTAACCCCAGACTGAACTCAATCCGAGCCCTCAGTTGGGCACGGTACAAATCCAGCCTGGATCCAGGGCTGTAGCTGAGCTCATCTCTGTGCACCAGGGAGCACAGCACGCAGGCCTCGAACAGTGCTGCAGTATCCAGGCTGAATCAGTACCGCCAGTTCAGCACCAACCCCACTGACGCAGAGTCAGGCCTCCGCGAGGACGCTGGCTGTGCTGGGTTCCTCAGCACTCCTGATAACAGGAACACAGTGTAGACACACCCAAACAGGCACGGATCTGGTTGAGCAAGACTTATCGCTTCAGTTCTATAGGGCAAGAAAGCAGCTGGACCGCATCCAGGCTCCTACTCGGTGCTAGATGTTCCAGACTCACACTGGCTCCTGATGAACTAATCAGGCATCGTTGCAACATACTCTTTTGCTCACATCAGAGTTTCCACAGGGCTCCCCTCCCCAGCATCACACCAGTTTGCTGTGCCTCCTCTGTACAAGATCCAGCTCTCCTGGCTGTCCTCAGTCTAGGTGCAGCTCCCCAAGAAAACACATTCTGGAAAGGTAAAGATGATATGACATAGAAGACTGAGCCTGGGCCCTAAAAGCATCACAATACCAATGCAAAAGAAACACCAAAATTAGCAGAAGTGACGTTCAAGTAAATCAGAATGGATATGCTATGGTTGCATTATACAGAGACCATCTTTATATCAATATGCCAGAATACCAGCCTGGTTTTTTTCCGCATCTAAAGCATTTGGTTACAATGAGTTATAATTTAACAATGTTAATAAATTAAAAGCACAAAGGGGCAATTACAATCACATTAAAACATTCTGTAATTTTGGAAAATTAATGTTTCACTAACTCTTCATTTTTACAGATAAATTGAGTCAGAACTGTGCTGTTCCTACACTGTGCTAACTAGTATCAGTGTTAAGCTTTTTGAAACCATATGGAAAGCTATCAATTTTTTTCTTAAGTAGAATTCTCATCACTTTGTTTAATATCACTACAAATTACACAGGCTAATATTTACAGATGGTTTCATGTAGGAACTGTGAATCAACAAACGGCAAGGCAATAGGTAGTAACTATTCATTCTGAGAGGAAGTGGTGTGAGCTACCTGCCAGAGGGCTGTACAGAAAAAACAGGAATCTCTCTCACTTCTGATCCCCCCCCCTTTGACTCAGAGCCCCTTCGGGACTTCGGGAAGTCACACGGGGCCAAACTGCAGCAATATCAAACCGAAGCATTGGAAGTTTCTGAATCACATACAAATAAAAAACCCATACATTTAAAAATCACAGAAACGGCTTCAAAAGTCAGAAGATCTTTTAACGTTATACTGCAGTTTCATTTTATTTGTCTCCTGGTGCTTCTACTTCAAGTTTCAGACAACTCAGACTTCAAAAATTTTCATTAGGGACACTAAATATAGAAACTTATCTATTTGATCAATAAAAAGGGACGTTTGTAATGTTCAGCATCAGCCCTGGGTCTTTCACAGAAACATCGAGCATTTTAAGTTTCTCAGCTGAGTTTAGAAAACCTACAGCTTTTAAGCTTTCAAAACATTCAGTATCAGATTTTTGTGTACTTGACCGCACTACTGAGGCAAAAATGGTTCACGCTTGGGCAGCTAACGAGAAAATAGTTTCCAAAAGTACTCAGCACACAGCAGACTGGTATGCTGTTTCCACGCAATCTTTCTCCCACCATCTCAAAAAAGGTATCACACAACTACAGAGGTGCAGAGAAGAGCACCAGAATGATCAGTCAGGATGGAATCCACGTGGGAGAGATTAAACAGGCATTTTTTCTACAGCATACACACACACAGGGGAAGAAAAAAAAAAACAAAAAAAAAACAAAAAACAGCTAGGGAGAATGTGGTAGAGATCAGCAAAAGCAGTAATCATATCTAAAAGGTGAATATGGAAGTTATTCTCTCTCTCAGAACACAAGAATTAGGTGGTGCCAGTTATAATTATCAGCTGACAGATTTTTCAAGGAATTAATTTTTTCTTCATGAAACACCCAATGAAACTGCGGAACTCATTGCAGCCAGGTGCCACAGACATCAAGGAATAAGAGAACAAAAACAACCGTACAGAAAGGCCCGCGGAATATTTATTAAATGCAACAGCTGCCACCTGCAAGCCAGAAAGTCCTTTAACCACCCGCTCCTACAGATGTTGGGCCGGGGGGAGCCAGGACAAGCTCCCCCACGCTCCCTCCGGGCAGCCCCCTCTATTCCGCAGGGGAAGCCCTGAGGTTGCAACTCCCCCCCACCCCAGACCCACCCGCAGACCAGCCCCGCGCCCCCCAGCAAAAACCACCCCCCTTTGCCTTTGCCACGGGCCCACCGCGGCCCTTCTGCCCCGTGGCGCAACGGCCGCCGCGCGAAACCTGCCACCGCCACGAACACCAGCGGCGCGCGAGGCGGGTTCGCCCCACGGCCCTTCCTGCCCGGGCCGAAATAACCGGAGGGAGGGGAGTGAGGAGTTTGGGGAGATGGGGGGGGCCCCGGGGGGGTGCGGGCAGCTGGGAGTCATCGCCGGGAGATTGGCGTCCGCGTTGCCACGGCGACCGCCCCGGCGGCGCCAGCCGGGCCGCGGCGTGAATGGGTGACGTCACGCGCCCGGCGCCGGCCAGTCTGGGCTGCCCCGGGGGGGGGGGGGGAACCCGCGCAGCACCCCACCCCCCCACACACACACAGACAACAACCCCCCCCCCCAAACGCACAGACACACACACACACACCCCCCCCCCAGACACACAGACACCCACCCACCCACCCACAGAGTCACCCCCCCGCCTACACACACACACCACCCCCCCCCGGCCACGAAACGTGCGGGCCGGGCCTTCCAGCGCTCCGCTGTCAGGATGGAAGGCGCCGCCGTTCGCGCCTTCCCATTCATCTGCCGGCACTTCAGAAAGGAAAAAAAAAAAAAAAAAGTTCCTGCGGGAACCAGGGGCTTTTCACGGCGCTCCAGCAATCCCTGCCAGCGCTCCCCAACTTCCCGCATTCAGCCCCGAAGTTTCCCACTGCTCTCGGCAGCGAGCTTCCCACACTGCAGAATACCTGATTATACTTACAATTCAGCCGGATTCACGGAAACATCCTCTCAAACTCGCAATGAACAGTTTACTTCACGTAGGAAGTTCTTCATTGCTTTCTTACTGCGGTTCTGCATGAGAGGGTACATTCCTAACTGGTTTAGGCTTAGAATGGGAAAATCAGATTTTTCCTTTATGTAGGTTGTTATTTACATAGATCTACTCTTTACGTCTGTTTTAGTGGGTTCAGGACAAAGACCACTTGGCAAAAGCCAGCCTAGCTGTCCGGCGACCCAGCAGGAGATGCAGGTTGGGTTTAAACATCAATTTTTCTCAGTAAAGACATCAAACTGTTGCAGAGGGCAGGGGGTTTTGCAGTGCATGAAACGGCCCCCGGCCTGTCAGTCACAAACTACGGCTCCTCTGTATTTTATCCCATCTCCATCTCACAGCACCTCTAGCTGTGGGCCTTGGTGCCTGCACGCCGGGGAGCTCTTCCAGGCTGAGGGGATGTGACATTAAATTCCTGTATCGGTAAAATCCTAGAGCAGCTTAAATTAATGACACAGTTCTGTGTCTTACTGCACTTGGCATTTGCTGAGTAGTTTTTTGCAGCCAGGCAGCTGGGACACTTGCGATGGTTTTCATCACAATTCTGCTTATTTTAATTCTGTTCGTAAATTGGTTTGGTGCCTAAGTTCTCAAGGAGGAAAAGGAGGTTGAGTCCAAACCTGTAGGGATAATTACAACCGCTTGCAGTCATACAGAAGCCTTCAAAGGCCGCGGATTGCTGAAGTGCCGCCCGTCAGCTTGCAGACCCTTTACCTGAACCGTGTCACCTCAAAGGCTCACCCCCCCCAAAGGAGCCGGAGGGGAGCAGCAGCACCTCGGCACAGGGACCAGCCACGCACCGGGGGGGCTGGGGAGGGGGGAGGACGGGGAGGGGAGCCGGGCATCGCGCCGGCGGCTCGGCCCCAAGACTGAGCGTGGATTTTTAAACCAATCTGAGCAGTGCAGATTTGGTCTGTGGGCAAGGTGAAAGCAAACCCCCCGGCAAAAGTCTGCATGCGAGGGGACTTTGCAGGCGGTGTAAGGTATTAGGATATTAGGATCAGTGGCATCACTCCCAGGTGTACAGCCAGGCGTTAGGGCAGGCATGTGCGAAGGACTCACCCTGCAAACACCAATTTATCTGAGGTCAGCCAGTACGTGTGCATGTTGCAGAATCAAACACTCCTCATCTTCCTCTAGTTCGCTGGACAATTTGGAAATTGGAGGGTGGCAAGTAAGCTGAGTTCATGTAAGCGTGATTTTAGTGTGAGGCTCAAGTTAAGACTTTCTGATTTTAACTGTTTGATATGATGTTTAAATCTAAATGACCTGTAACCTTTAAAATCTTATTGGGATTTTAACACTAAATGCTTTCGATGACTGCTTGATGACTGGAAATTAATCTGAGAACAGTCATTGACAGTCAGCTGTCTCCGTCGGGTAACTTTGCAATAAACGCAATAAATTCCAGCTGGTGGGGGCAGGGAGAGAGCGTCCTGAGAAACTCGCTCCTCCGCTCCCATTGATCATCACCTGCACTGGACTTCATACAGCAGTTTAATCCTATTCTCTCCCTCAAAGGTTTCAAGCCTCTGCAAGATCCTGACTGCTAGGGAACAAAGACTGGTATGTGGTTCCCTCAAAGGTCAGTCATTAACCTGCCCCAACAACAGTTTTAGGAAGATCAAGGCAATGAAGAAAAACTAAGAAAAAGCACTTTCACTTTGGAATGAATTGTTCAAAATGCCCTTATACATTCAGTTTTATTCCCTTTCAGCTCTGCACTTTTTAGTTCCTGCACGTATTTATTTCTCATCAGGAATAATGGCAAGATTTGCTCTCCCAGAGATTTGACCTTAAGTTTATTCTAGCCACAACACTATAGACCATTTCATCAATTATGAATGTACTCATGTGCATAGGCGAACTGGTAAGCTAGCTCAGTAACGCTACCTTGTTCTGGAGAGTTACCCTTATAAATAAATTAGGGACATATCTTTATGAAATACCAGAAAGAAATAGAAGATGAAAGAGGGAGAGAATAAAAAATAGAAATAGGGGGGGAGGGGGGAAGAGAGAGAGGAAAGAAAAAGGAAGGAAAGAAATAAAGGAAATAAAGATGAAAAAAAAGAGAGAATGAAAAGAAAAAAAAAGGAAAGGAAAGGAGTGGAAAGATGAAAGGAGAGGAGAGGGAAAGGAGAGGGAAAGGGGAGGGAAAGGGGAAGGGAAAGGAAAGGAAAGAGGAAAGGAAAGAGGAAAGGAAAGGAAAGGAAAGGAAAGGAAAGGAAAGGAAAGGAAAGGAAAGGAAAGGAAAGGAAAGGAAAGGAAAGGAAAGGAAAGGAAAGGAAAGGAAAGGAAAGGAAAGGAAAGGAAAGGAAAGGAAAGGAAAGGAAAGGAAAGGAAAGGAAAGGAAAGGAAAGGAAAGGAAAGGAAAGGAAAGGAAAGGAAAGGAAAGGAAAGGAAAGGAAAGGAAAGGGAAAAGGAAAGGGAAAAGGAAAGGGAAAAGGAAAGGGAAAAGGGAAATATGTAAACAAAATCTAGAAAGCCACATTTTTTTCTGAAGATAAAAGGACAGAGGCTAATATCAAAAGCGGTTTCTCTGTGATTTGTATTTTCTGTGTCTGTATGTGAGACAATATACTGGACTTGTAGTAGCCAGAATATCAATAAGACATTTATTTCCATAAGTTATTGATGACCCTTTAGCTCACAAGTGACAGGCCAAAGTAGAGCCACGAGCAACTTCTGAAAGGTCATCAATAACAACTGAAAATAAATGCTTTATCCAGTGCCTGCCCATTGTGTGTCCTGTTTATGCAATGCCAGTTTAAGTTTCATCTGGCGTAGTTTTTAATGGTCTGTAACTACCTCAGCACCTGACTGAAGCAACCAGGTCTTCCAGCAACGGAGGAAAGGGGACACACACGTATAGACATCCCCACTTGCTTGCTCACGTGCTTCATGGAGTACCTTTTGTCAGATGCGGCGGTGAAAGCATGCATCTCTCAGCACATCAGGATGAAACAGTACCCTAAAGAGTGAAAGGAGAGAATGCCACCTTACTGAAACATTAAACACCATGGAGAGTCCTGATGCTGCAAGTGTAAGACTGTTCAGAAGAAAGAAGATACGGAGGGGACAGGGAGGGGAAAAAAAAAGGAGAAGCTGAGATGCAAGGTTGTAAATAAATCATACCTCATGCTAAGATTACAAATACATAATATTCTATTAATGTATTTCTAATAATAATTCATACCGTACTGCAAGGAAAATTGATGCATTGTGTGTGTTAAGTAGTTCCTCGAGGCAAAAGAAAGCTCTTTATGTCTGTAAGGAGTCTCTTACTCCCAGTGGAAAAAGACTGCAAGGAACACTGAATACAACCCAGTGGGGCCCAAAAATTTGGTTTGAATAACCATCACCGCTAACCACAATGTCTTTTAATTTAACTTTTGCATTTAAAATTTCCATTTTTCTTTTGCATTTGCATTTTTGCATTTTAAAAAATATTTTTTTGAGGATCAATTTTCAGGAGCTCGATGTAGAGTAACTCTTCCAAGAGGCTGGTCTGAAATAAGCCAATGACTTTGCATCCTGTTGTGAAACTTCTGCTCACTTGAGCAGTCCTTATACCCACATCCTTACTCAGGCAAATAAGCTCATTAACTTCAAGACAAACTTTCTACATAAGCAAGGATTTGTGCTGCTTTTCAAGTCAATTTCTCCATTGAGGTAAATTAAGAGATTTGCTTGAGTAAAATATATCAGTGCTTTAAAGTGTTGAAAGAGCTTGTAAGTGGAGTAAAAATTACCAAAATAAATGTCATTAACACTTCAAGGTAAGTATGTGGAAACATACTGGTATTAAAGACAACTTGAAATAGTTACTTAGCATAAGCTGTGTGATTACCCAAAATATTTTTATATATGTACATCATTTAGCTTTAAGAAAACAAAGTCAAAACTGTAAGAAAATTTGCATGTTGAAGCGTTTTTAACAGCAGTTTTGAATATGTCTTTAAAACACTTCTGCATAGTTTGCCCTCTGCGCAAGAAGCAAAAACATGAAGAATTGCTATACAATTACTCTAAAATGGAAAATAACATTCATTTCCATTTCTTATGAGGGAAAATTAGTAAGTCACAGAATATATTTAACTGTGAAGAATTACAGTTCATGGATCATTGTCCAATATTCTGCTTACATCCATCTTTCTTATTTCTGCATCTCCAGCCATTTGCACTCTGCAATGTATATCCTAATGTAAATTCACAGTGCTACACAGTGGTTTTCATTAGGCAATCCTGTTGTCCTAATAAATATATAAGGTAATTTTAGTACATGCTATTGCTGGAATTAAAACCCATGAGTGTGACCCTGTCCGCCTAAAGTAGATATTACTTGTTGTCACCTTTTTTCTTGCTCTCTCAACATGAAATCCTGCAAGAGCTGCTTTCTGTCAACAAAAGCTGAGGGCTCGTGTTTTCTTAAGTGACAACTTTCTCAGAAGCCATGCAGGCTATAAGGAATGATCAGAGAAAGCATCCTACCACAAATTAATACAAAACTCACCTTTTTAGCAGACTGCTTTTTCAGACACACACAAGTACATAAGCAAATTAAAACGGTGCTATGATCCTGTAAATAATCTCCTACTATTCTACCATTTCTTCTGCAGGATGGAAAAGAAGAATGAGGAAGAGCCTTTTGCTTCTGTTACTAAGCACTTGGTAGATCCTCACATGTTATGGCAACAGGAACTCTATAGCAGGTAAATAAGGTTACACAGAATTTGGTATGCATTGGAAGTGCATGGTGTGGCCCCATACACACCTGCAGTCAAGGGATTTGAAGATACATTGAAAAGCTTTCCCTCCTAATGCACAGCCACCAGACCTGAATTTCTAGTTCTTTCTAACTTCTCTTGCCAGCAATGGCACCAATGTGACCTGAACCAACTCAACAAACAGCATTTCCTATAGTGCTTTAAATACTGGTCAGGCTGTCACTAGCATGAAGCAAAATGCAGAATTGTAAATTAATATTTGGCAAGCAGGTGATATCTGAAAGTGACACTGAGCCATAAAAGTACTTTGAGAACCAACTGACCGTAGTCACAGAAAACATCGGTGCATTTGCATCAATGCAGAAGAAGTGAAGGTCTCTCTGTCTACCTTGAATGTCCCTCCGCTGTGGGAAAGGCTGTTTTCGCAGTCGGGGAGAGAGAGGTGACTTCTTCTTTTAATACTAAAAAAAAAAATTGGGAAGATTAAAAAAGATAAACCCCAAAGATTTTGAAGAATTTCTTAAAACACTCATGGAGAACAAATAGCAAATGTATTAATACTAGCTTTCAAAATGTAAAATGTTGTACTGGTGCAAAGTATTGCTGTTGTTTCTGCAGAGGTTTTTTTTGTGGCATGAACTTAGACTGCTTTTGCTGATGAAGCTCTTCAGGTCCCCTGAAAATAAATACCAGTATCATTGGTGTAATGATAACATATGCAGATGAGCATGTACACATCCAGATACTTATTTAATTTAGGTCGATTTGCTCATTGTCCCTGTAGGCTGTATTATTTGTGTGATTATAGAGCTCTTAATGCAAAATCATAACAAACATGAAAATAATATGAGGCGGTATCATACCATCAGTTTTCGGGCAGATTGGCTAAGGATTTCTGTCTACAGACAAAGGGCATGACATTACACATAAATCTGATCTAAATCTACACAAAATAAAATTAAAGTTAAAGTTGACTCCAAATTCAATCTGTTACTATGTAACTCAGTTTAATGTAGTGTTCTTCAGGAAGCTGCTCCAAATACTCCTAAATTATTTTCCCCTTCCCCAGAATAAGCATCTTGATTGCTTATATTTGGACCACGCTGCAGAAGGTTGTCAACATGAGTTATCTTTCTTGCCACAAACTTGCCTTAGTCAATGCAGAAATCTGACATTACCCCACAAACCCGGTGTTTCTGGTCACCTGAACAAAGCAACCTTCTTAAATGACATTAGCCTTCAGCCAACATACAACCACCAGCAAAATGCCAGGGCATCTGTCGGTGACATACCCGTGTTGATTGCTGCTGCAGCCTCTCACAGGGAGGAGGTGGTTTTGCACAAATTTCTACAGCATAGCCATGCTGGAGGCAGCACAGCAAGAAAAGCTCTTGTAGATACTAACCCCATTACAGTCTTTTTTTGGTTCTCTCCACTAATTGAGGTAAAATATTTCTTTATGCATTTATTTCCATGTTTGTGTGAAAAAGAGCTTACATAAGGATCAAGGGTTTGGGGATTTTTTTTTTTTTTTTAAGGAGAAGGTTCTTTTAAGGAGAAGGGTTTTTTTTTAATCTGTTCCTCATCTCTCCAAAATGTTTGTTGTCACATGATTTTTTTTGTAGCATATGAAGCTGAAGGAAAGCATAAAGAGGTGGGTAGGAATATGCTCCTGTCATTAGAAGGATTCTCTAAACTGGACAACTATGTGCACATGCAAAAAAAAATTAAAATCTCTTGTCTGTGAAGAGCTGTTGTGAGCAATCAACAAACATTTTTCTTTTTATTTTATATTAAACTTCATGCACAGGGGACAATGAGGAGGTGAAGGTCTTGAGAGTCTCCTAGGTTTTCTCATTAAACAGAAAATTTTGCCACGACCACAACCAGAGAATGACAAAAAAAGCCCACCACGTTAAGTGAAGTGTGTGAGTTTTATTTAGATTTTGGATTTGAGGAAAATAGGGAAAACAATACTGAAGATGACTCATGCTATTTGGGGAAAAGGTTTGTGTTAAGGAGAGATTGGTCAAGCTCTGTTGATGAGCTGTCCCTCGTAAGGAGTGGTACCAGAAGACTGATGGATTTTAGTCTGTCGGTAGCCTGCAGAGTGAGGTGACTTCTCTGTGCTCCCTGAATGCCCGATGGATCTTCCCTGACCCATTCTAAGGACCCATGGGGTGTCACTGCAAAGGAGCCCGCAGTCTCACCTCCAGCCTGGGGCCCAAGGGGACACAGGCATATAGAAAGCGAAAGATTTACATATTCTCTCCTCCATCTCACTCCCCCACCCATTTTTCATTTCATATCACTATCCCCTGTTGCCAAGAGGAGTTTATCTATGGTGTTTGATAAGGGAGCACTAAACACATTATAGTGCTATTTTAAATGACATCACAACTAACTAGATATTTTAATTGAAGGTAAATAACCAACATTATTGCCTTTTGAATGATAGCAATAGTGGAGAGTAATGGCACCACTGAGGAATCAATTGCTATTTCTCTCATAAACCATAAACCATTCAGAGATTTATAATGCTTTTTTAATGATCAGCCCTGCTAGGTGTTGAGCAGCTCCTCTGAGATCCTGACTCTCCTGGCTGCCTGCTGAAGTCAACAGGAATGGGGAGCAGGGGGGGGGTGTCTCAGCATCACATATCCTTGTGCCCACCAGGATGAAACTTGTCACACAAGTTATCAGCCTCGAGCAAAGGAAAGCTTGGGATTTTACTACACTGCTCTGGTACAGCATGCCCCAAGCCCCAAAACAGGGACACTTGACTCAACCACTGTTCCATAACCTGCCTGAGAATAAAAATGCATTGTGCATTTGTGTGCATTTCATGCCCTCTTAAGGTAGGTATAGCAAGTAGCCTTCTGTAAGAAACCACATCGATTGCTTGCTTCCCTCTGCATACATAAGTGTGTTCCTTTCAAATTTTATCCGTCCTGAGACTATTTTAACTAATACGGTGCTATCCAATGCACCAGTTGGTTCAGCAGCATCGTATCATGCACAAACATCTGTGGATCCAAAGTGCCGTCAGAGGAAATGTCCTGTGTTCTCCACTTGGAAGAACCATCCCCCTTCCGTGGTGCCATGACCCAGAGACAGTGTTGATGTCTCAGGTTTATTTTTTCAGCTGGAGTCAATGGCATATTCATATGCTCAGACCTGTGCTGACAAATTCAGCTGACATTACTCATTCTCATTAAGTTCAATGGGATTATCCTCATGACAAAGGGGACACAAGGCCAGTCATTATGTTTTCATTTTTAACTTGCTTTACTTTGGTTTTGAGTCAAAAGCAACTTTTTTAAGCTGCAGAGAGCACCTATGATGTGATCTGAACTCATCAGTTCTCTGTTAATGGACCAAACTGGTCCATTCAAGCATTATCGAGGATTTTGTGATAATATTGCAAGAGCTGGTTACAATGGAAATGAATCTTGGCTCTGGATGCAGGAAGAAAGCACACAAAAACCCAGCTAAGACAGATGAACTCCGCCAGCCAGCCAGGAAGGGACCACATGCTCAAAGATGCAGAGGGTTTATTTCAAAAATCCAAACTTGGTCTGCTGAAACACAGGAGCGTTAATCCCTATATACTCATGTCATGAAAAATATTGCTATTAATAGGACAAAAGCATGAACAGTAGCTACTGTCCCTCTCTCTTGTGTGTATCTTCAGGGATGAGGAGTTTTGCTATGCCTACCTCCATTGCTAACATTCTGGGGTTTCCAACCCACTTCTGGAGCAATTTACTTAGCATCTGCCGCACATCCAATCTAAATTTTGAAAAATCAGCCGACCCAACCTGCTCTCGCTTAAGTCAATGACAAAACTCCCATTGACTTCAAGGAGAGCACAAGCAGACCGGTTGTTAACAGGGAATTGGTGCCTATTGTTCAGCCGAGCATATCGGACTAGCATGTATCAACTTCATGAGTATCAAAGGGAGTTACTAGAGGAAATCCCCTGAATATTTATGCGGTAGTTAGAGAGAAGGGCTGTTTTTCCCTTTCCCACATATCTCTGGTGTGATACGTTAGCTACGTGAACGCACAGAGTTCTTGTGCAACTTCAGCGACGCGTACCGACCCTCGGCTTTCCCTTCGTACCCTCTGCGGTGGAAGTAGCCCGATGGAAGAAGAGGTCTGCAGCATATCCTGGTTCTTCACGGGTTTCCAGAAATATTGAGTCATCTTCAACAGCCAGTGTGGTCTCAGTGGATTTGCTGTAGTACTGCTACAGCGTGTGTGCGTGCGTGCATGTGTGTGTGAGAGAAAGAGACAGAGAGAGAGAGAGAGAGAAATATAGAGAGTGTGTGTGTGTGTGTACAGAAAGAATCAGTCCAAATTAGCTCTGGGAGAGCTAAAGGGAAACCAGTTACATACTGGGGTTTCCCAGAGATGTCCAGTGAGATCAGAGTGGCTCCCAGGAGGGATTCAAAGCAAACAGAACAACCCAGTATTACAGTGTATCTAGTTACACTAAGATTTTAATTAAATGGGAGCAGCAAGATTTGAGTCTGCATGCTCACCACAATTTACAGATCTATTTTTTTTTAGACAGCACATCAAGTCTGTCCTTATTACCAGGACTCGGGGAAACAAAGCATAACCATAATGTACGCTTTAAGGCCCATATATATTTCCACCTTGCGAGACTCAGAGACTGCAGGGAGTAGAGTTTCACAGAATAAAAGCAATGACTGCAGCAGAATTGGGATCATCCAGCCCATAGCTAACGGAAATACATCTTCCCATCACATCACCACGATGTAGCATACAAATCTAGACCTCAGTCAGTGAAAGATTTACACCATGCACTTAGATTTTGTGCCAGGGAGCCCAACTGCCGTGGATGGGACTGGTAATGTGGTATAAAATAAGGAAAACAAGAGTGTGAGTATTTGTAAGCAGAGCCTCAAAACATATGTTTTTAAAGGGTGAGAGAGAATGGAAGTGTGCTTCATTATACACTTCAGATGATCCAGTCTCACCGTTCATTCAAGTTCTGGGTTTGACAGCTTCCCACTGTATCCTTTATATATCACCCGTTGTGACTAAGCATTGAGGGGACATGCAATCATTAATCACCATTATGGATTTCTTCCCTTCTGGTGGTTTTGACTTACAATCTTAGGGGCAGATCCTGCAGCCTTTACTTCTTCCTGCAGTCCTTTGCCCAAGCGATCAGCCCTGCTTCAACTCGCGGAGAGCTCGAAGCACCGCAGCATCTATAGGATCGGGCGCCGTGCTTCTCACACCGGCGTCCCATTCAAATATGCAATGGCTCTTAATCCGCAGCAGGAATTAACAGAAAGTTTGAACACTGCATTATTAAATTAAAAGGTTACAGTCTGCCACGAGATGACTTAAGCAGGACTCAGGAGTATGTGTCTCTTAATTTTAATGCTCTGTCTCAAAGTACAGAACTCTGGACATTTCCAGCATCATATTTAAAACATGGTACATCTACTAATACGTGATCTGGTGCATTAATGGACCAAATTAAGTTACAGGTATGAATTTTACATAAAACGGATTAATATTATATGTCATGGAGGAATTTTAAATACTCCATCTCCATGCATTTTTAATAGTTATGTGCTCTAATTTAATGTTCCCAGGCATCGCTTTGCTTGAGGTCCCTAAACCCTCCTCCCTCCCCCCTCTCCCCCCCCCTCCCTCCCTCCCTCTCAAGTTTTGCTTGGGATTTTCCCTGCCTTTCAACCGGCGTCCCGAACTCCCTCAAAATACGTGTAAAGCCGTGCCGGGTCTCCGACACCGAGAGGATAAAAACGCGTTTCACGCCCCGAGGAGCTGCCACCTCTCCCGGGGAAAGACGGGGGAGGGGAGGGGGGGTGGGGGGGAGGGGAAGCCGCCTTCCTCCGGGCGGGCGGGCGGGCGGCGGGGAGCGGCGCCGGCCGCGCGGGGCTGCGCGGGGAGCCGCTGGGCGGCCAGTCCCTCTCGCATTCCCGCAGTCCTTCTTCCCCGGGACCGCCTTCTTCTTCTTCTTCTTCTTCCTCCTCCTCCTCCTCCTCCTCCTCCTCCTCCTCCTCCCCCCCCCCCCCGCGGGGGTCAGCGCCAGCCGCCCGCCCCCTCCAGCAGCGCCACCGCCCCCCCGGCCCCGCCGCCATTGGCCGGCGCCGCGTTCCACGAGGGGGGGGGGAGGACGGGGGACGGGGACGCGGCGCTCTGATTGGCTGCGGCGCGGCACCGCGGCGCCCCCCCCGCGCTCCCCGAGACGCGCCCGCCTTGCCCCGCCGCGGCACCGCCCGCCGCGCCCCGCCCGCCCCCCGCGCTATATAGCGGGCGGCGCGGGCAGCGGCGGCGGCAGAGGCGGCCGCGGTTGTGGCTGAGCAGCCGCGGGGGGGAGAGGTGGTTTTTGGGGGGGGTGGTTTGGTTGCTTGGTCTTTTTTTTTTTTTTTTTGGTTTTGTGTGTGGTTTTGGTTGTTTGTGTGTTTTTTTTTTTTTTTTTCCTTTTTTTTTTTTTTTTTATTGGCGGTGCCGCTGTTGTCACGCGGCCCTGCGAGCACCTCTCGTTACATCCCGTGAGGGGGGGGTGGGGGGGTGGGGGCACCCGCCGGTAAACGCCAGCGAGGCTGCAGCCGTACCCCGCTCCCGTTGCGGCGCGGGCGGCGCGTTGCGTGCGCGGCTGCCCGGGGTCGCAGGAGGCGGCAGCGGTGGTGGAGAGGGAGGTCTTTCCCTCCCTGCGGCATCATGAAAGCCGTGAGCCCCGTCCGGCACCCCAGCCGCAAGGCGCAGCCCGGCGTGGCGAGCGGTGGCGGGGGCCACCCGGCCCTGCGGTGCCTGGCCGAGCACAGCGGCTGCAAGGGGGGCCCGCCGTCGGGCGAGGAGCCGGCGGCGCTCTGCCTGCAGTGCGATATGAATGACTGTTACAGCCGGCTGAGGAAGCTGGTGCCCACTATCCCGCCCAACAAGAGGGTCAGCAAAGTGGAGATCCTGCAGCATGTCATCGACTACATCCTCGACCTGCAGCTGGCTCTGGAGACGCACCCGGCGCTGCTCCGGCAGCAGCAGCAGCAGCAGCCGCCCGCCCTGCACCCGGGCAGCTGTCCCGCGGGCACCCCCAGGACCCCGCTCACAGCCCTCAACACTGACCCGGTAAGAGGTGCGTCCCACGCCAGCCCGCGGTTCGGGGAGGAGGACACCGGCCGCCGTGGGAGCGTCCCGGTGATGCCTCGCCGCCGCCGGCCCCGTGGCCCTGCCGAGGGCCCGCAGCCCCCGGGGGGGGGGGGGGGGGTGGACACGGGACGGGACGGGGCAGACGGGCGCAGGAACGCCCCGGCGGTGCGCGGTAGGTGGATGCCTGCGTCCCCGCGGTGCAGGCAGGCACCCGCACGGTGTTTACCGTGTAATTACAGCCTCTCGAGGGAGCAGCTGTAATCAGCGTGTTTGCACACACGGGAGCAGACGCGGGTGCTCCTGCGCTTCCCAGCCCTCCGCCGAGGGTAGCGAGGAGAGGCGGGTTCGGGGGGCTGTGCGCATCTACCGCCCTGGGCGCAGCGTCTTTTTTCGGGGGGGGGGGGGGAGGGAGGGAAGGGAGAAGAAGCGGGGAGCGTCTCCTCTCCGCGGGACCCCCTTGGCAACCCGGCGGCGCTTACAGCCGAGGGGCGGGGAGCGGCGTGCCCCGACAGCCCCGTGCCCCCCGGGGGGGGGGGGGTCTCCGGGCGGGCAGCGCTGCCGCGGCCCCCTTCGCTCCGTCCCCCCGGGCTGGTGCCCGCCTGCGGCCCCTCCTTTAGAGCCGGGGGCTGCCGTGAGCGCTCCCCCGGCAGGACTGTGGCAGTGCCCCGAACGCGGAGGGGAGATCTGGGGGAGTGCGTGCGTATGTGGGGGGGGCGGGAGAATCTCCATCTCCTTGTACCCCCCCCCCCCCCCCCACCTCTTAACTTGGCCGTGTTTGGTTTTCGTCGGTGCGCAGGCTGGCTCTGTTAACAAGCCGGGAGACAGCATCCTCTGCCGCTGACCGCCGCTCCCCAGGTGAGTGCCGGGCGTCCGCGGGGGGGTGTGGGGTGTGGAGGCCGGGGGGGGGCCCTGATCCCAGCGGGAAGTATTTGCAGGAGGCTTTGGGGGTTTTATTTTTAATTCTCGGGTGGTTATTTTATTTTCTTTAATTACCGGGTGGGGTTTTTTTGGTATGTGTGTGTTGGGGTTTTTTTGTTGTTTGTTTTTTTGTTTTGTTTTGTTTTTTCCTCCCCCCCCCCCTTTTCCTTTCCTCTCCCCCCCCGAAGCGCTTCTGGCTGCGGCGCGCAGCTGCGCATCCCTCCGCCTTGGCCCAGCCTTGGGAGCTGCGGTTGTTGTTTGACCTGGTTTGTTTTGGGTTGTTGATCAAGCATGTCTTGTGTTGTGCTGGTGGCGCCAGTCGGTCTGGAGCGGAGCGGTTCACACACCCCCTCTATTCATTCCTCTCCCACAGGTGCGCGGCGGCGGCGCCGCGCAGAGGCACCGCGGGGGGCGGGCGGCGGCGTTGGGGGGGGGGGCCCGGCCCCGCCGCACCGGAGGAAGGAGCCACCCAACACCAGCCCCCCCCCCCCCCCCCCCCCTCACAACTCGCCCCCCCAACCCGAGCAGTTCCCATGCTTCATCCCGACAGAGCCAGCCTTCCCACCGTGTTGCACGGCCGTAGCGGTCCCGTCCCCGTGTCCCCCCCCGCCCCACCCGTGTCCTTCCCCACCCACCCGCTTCTCCTCGTTCCCGGCCAGACGTGAGCGCTGGGTCCCGCGGGGGCAGGAGGTGGTCGGACTCGAGCAGCAAAAAAAGTTGCGACTCAGCCCCGGGATAGAGGACCGAGCCCAAACCAGACTTTAGAAGCGTTATTACCCTTAAGGGACCGAGCAGCTGAATCTTGAAGCTTTACTAATCTACCAGAGCATTTGTAGATATATTTGACATCTATTGTTTAAAATAGATGGATTTTATTGGGGCCCAGGGAACTTTCTTCTCCCTGCAGGAATGTTACATATTGTATAGATAAATGAGTGACATTTCATACTGTGTATATATAGAGATGTTCTATAAGTGTGAGAAAAGTATATGCTTTAATAGACTACTGTAATTATAAAATATTTTTAATTAAATATTTTTTTGTAAATATTATAAAGGTGTGTATGTTTTTTTTAAATCTGTGGGAATATCTCTTTAGAAAACTGCAGCTCGTGTACAGAGCTGCTAATATGGAAGTATCATGAATGTTTAGGGCTTTTTTTTGTCCCCAAATGTCCTTTAGACTCGGAAGTTACTGCTATAGCTAATGGTCCTGCATGATTGCATGAGATGTCTAATTGCAAATAAACTTGTTTGGAGTCCATAGAAATGTGTTTTCCTCAATCTAGACTTAAAATGTTAGTAAGTGTATTATACGTTTTGAGACTACACTTTTGTCATTTAGGCACAGGGGTTTTTAGTGCATTCTATAAAAGTAGCAGTAAGATGTAGTGTTTTTTACTGAGAACAGAATAACAAATTCTATCTAGTTTTTGCATTATGGGGGTGATGCTTTAGATCTTTAATCAGCTTTTTTTTTAAATCTGCTGTTGCATCAGATCAAGAAATTTGTTCTGGAACTTCATTTAACACCGGAAGGTTTTATTGCAAACTTGTGTTCCTATAGCCTATTAATTGCTTAAAAAAGTGAAAACAGTTCTCTGCTTGCAACCAAAGGGCAAACCATTAACAAAAACAGTTGCTGTTTCCTTCGTCCAAAGAGTATTAATACCGAACTGCAGAAGGGCACATGGGCAAAGTCATTATGATCAGTGATGTAAATTCATCTTAAAATCAACTTACGTAGACCAAAAATCGGGTAACTGCGTCAAGATTATTTTTCTAGTACAAAATGACTTGCATTTCACTGCAGCTATGTTACAGTTAAAATCCTGTTTAATCTCTGTGATGTGTAACTACTACATGTGAACATTAAACTAGATTTACCTGTCTTTAACTGTGATTCTTCAGCTTATTTCTTCAATCCTCTGAATTTGCACATTCTCTGCACTTTTTTTTTTTTTACATACCATTTGATGGGCGAATTAATTTTATAGCAGGCTTTTGTGCAATTGAGTTTTACAGACTAAACTCGTGTCCAGGCTCAGTGAAAGATGCTCATCTCGTGTGATCAGTAGCCTGCGCACTAGTGAAATGGGATTTTCAGAGTGGGAGAATTAAGTAGGATTTAATTGGGTGCTTTGTAAATAGCTAGCCAACTGTGTGTGTAACATGGTCTGTTTGACTAAAAAAGAGGATTTGTTTCAGATTATACAAGTGTCAAAAGTA